TTCCACATGAGCATAGTATATACGTGAGTGGATGCATGGAAGTACATGTACACACATGTGTATATAAATATACATATGCATATATATATATATATAGATATATATATATATATGCATGCATATGTGCATATGTACATATATGCAAATTAATCTTACATACATAAACGGTATGTATGCATACATACATACATACATACATACATACATACATACATATGTATATATACGTGTATTCATAAATACATACACATGTATAAGCATACAGATGCTCATGCTTATATATATATATATATGCACATAAACATAGACATACATGAATAATTATATATATACACACATGCATGTATCTTATGTCGCTCTCCCTACACACGTATTTTATGTTGGTGTTTAATTGCTAGTACTAAGCTCACCTTTGATATCGGCTATATATCCATACACATGTATACACATGATGTCATGTTTAGGACTAGCAGCAACTGCGAGTAAATGGAATCCAAGCAGATGCAATGCTGCCACGCACCACCGATGCATAATTTCCTCCTCACGGCAGTTTTGGGGCCTCAATAATTATGATCGGGTGGGTTTGCTCTATAATGATGGGTCTATGCATATTCCTAGCCCGTATCGAGGCCCATACATTCCAACTTTGACGAAGCGAAGCACGCGTTCCTTCACGGTAGCGCTGAAGGGAAGACAACCAAAACATCGAAGTCGCAGTGGCTTCAGAGCCTTACGGAAAGCCAGAAGCATGATGTTGCTGACATCCAGACTCCATCAAATCTCTGTCGAGCCTGAAAGCTCCGGTCTGCCTCGCTTCTTTAGGATTCGCCTCTTTTCAGTAATTGCAAAGCACTTTCTGAACGGAACGCCGTGCATCACTGGCGTCGAAAAGACCTCGCCATCGCATCGTAGCGAATTTTCGAGACACCTGTCGTGCAAGCCGGGAGCAGATCGCCGCTATCAACTCTGCTGGAACCTGAAACTACGACTACTACTGACTACTGTTACCATTGCTACGCTTTGTACTTGCTATATAGAAACGCTCTTAAGCCTAAACCCTGGACCCCAAACCCTTAAACCCCAAGCCCTTAATTCCTAAACGCCAAAACCCTAACTTCCCCAAACCCCAAATCCTCAACCGAAGCGACTGACTCTCGAGAAGGGGCCAAAAGCGTGCCTTCTGAACCTTAACTTCAGAGTTTAGGGATTCAGGGCTTACAGATGTAGGGTTTAGGTTTGGATTAGGGGGGGGGGGTTGTTGAGGTATTCAAACCCTTGCGACGGTCGATTCTCAGATCTCCTCCCAGCTCCTATGGCTTTTCGGCAACTTCAAGCCCGGAAAGCCTTGCATGATGCGAGGGGCTTACTACGTAAGTAGTACTCTGGTATCACGGTTACTGTAACTCTAGTACTAGGAACCCCAAGAGAAGAATCTTGGTAACTCTTCTAAGCCCTGTTTTTAAACCTTAAGTTTTCTTAGACGGCAGAGAATCTACCCTGGCTCAAGATCTGCCTCTTCACTCGCCAAGGGCTCAACTGTAAGAGCTTCTGCAAAAAGCACTCTTTGGAAAAACCCGGGTCAGAGCCCTCAGCTCTGTTCCCAGCGATAATCTTGCCTTGCTTCATGGTCTTAGGATGTCTTCGGATTTAGGGTTTTGGGCTTAGGGTTTAGGGCTTAGGGCTTTATAGGGGATCTTCACCATGTTTCAGGGTTTTTTTTCGTTTGTCGGCCAATATGCAGGATGACAAGGCCCAGGTGCACATGAAGTCACAAACTGCAGGGCACACGTCGTTCTGGCGCACGAGCTCCGACAGTGACACATGTCCTCAAGATGCGGCCCACATCTTCTCAAAAACATGTTCTTCCTTGTCCAATTTACTACAGGAACTAGAGGTTGACCTGTTGGATGATGCCTGGATTACAATACCCAACAGGGTTGAAGGCTACGTGCTCCGGTCAGGTAGGGCATCGGGGCCCTGTTGCGTCGCTGCCGGACCCGTCTCCACAACGGAAGATCCTAATATATATATATATATATATTGAAATATACAGATTACATACATATATATAAAGATATATTTATGTATAGGGCCTTATTGACTAGATTGGGGTTATATATATATATATGTATGTATGTGTGTGTACATATATATATATATACATATATATATATATATACATACATACACACTATCATGGCATAGCCACACACTCTGGAATGGTCTCGGCTTGACTCCCGGGGGGCTTGCAGCTCGGAAGGAGCTTGGGATTGCAATAGCTGTTCGTAGACCTCCGTATTTATCAGAATCATTGTACGAACCGAGAGACGGAAAGAGAGTGAAAGACAAAGAGGGAAAGGGCGAGAGAGCGAGCAGCAGATAGATGGAGGGAGCGAGGGAGATAGGGAGAGAGAGACAGAGAGCAGAGAGAGAGAGAGAGAGAGAGAGAGAGAGAGAGGGAGGGAGAGAGAGAGAGAGATGAGCTGAGAAGCGAAACAAGACTGCGGAATTCGTTGAGCTTCCCTTCCGGTCCTTCTCTGCTGTCGCTCTCGGCGGAGCTGAAAGAATCGAAGGCCTTGTTCCACAAGTCCCATTGATGGTCTGGAACAGAGGGTTTGATGAACTTCCTCCTGCAAGGCTCACTCAAGGTCGAGGCTCTGAGCGTGCCAGAAATTCAACGATAGTTTCTTTCTAGGGGCCTTGGCAACTAGAGCTGGGTTTTGGAGTATTGAGTTTTCCGGATCTGGCAGGTGATGGGCTCTTGATGGGCTGAAGATTGTCTCAAATTACATTATAGTATGTGTATGCTAGGAACCCTAAGGAATGGTCTTTTAAATGATTGAGGCATCTTGATCCAGGTTCCTCAGTAGCCCCTTAATAATCAGGGCACCCTTTGCCTACTGCATGGTAACAGTCATTAATACTAGTAGTAATGGAAAAGTGCAAAAGGGTACTTCTGCGGAACCTAGATCACACTTTTTCAGACGTTTGAGGCCTGATGGCACAAGTCCGTAGACTCTGCAAACTGTCTCACGCTCATCAAGGGCTTGCGATTTCCGGTCCAATTCCGGTCAACATGCGGGGAGATGCAGGCAAAGATGCAGACACCGAAGAATCGCACAGTACTGGCGAAGTCTTCGGCAGGTGGGCCAAGGCAGTTGATAAAACACCGCCGGAGGAAGCATGAACAATTTCCCCCAGCCAGCCTCGTGGCCACAGCTTCACCATTCTTTGCGAACAAAGCCTCCTCAAGATGTACGTGCAGTTCAAGACGATGTTTGCCGAAAACAGGCGGCACTTTGGCACCGATCCTTCCTCGACAGGGTCTCCTCCACTTTCGCTACCTGCAGTCCTCGGCGCAATCGGTGCTGCGATGCTCCGAATGGTTTGGGGGCTCAGTGGTGATGTCTTCGAGAAGTGACTGCAGCATGAACCCATGCCGAAGCGGAACTGCAGCCCAAGCACTGAGCAGCTGGCCTGCGATGGAAAGCTGGACGGTTCAGTGTCTTTAGGGCCTTTAGGGGGAACAACTTGCAAACAATGACTTCCCCAATAAGCCACAGACATTAAAGGTTGAACTTGCAGACTATCACTAAACTATGAGAACCCCCAAAAATTGTGAAAGGTTTGGTATTGGAGAACAAAGAAGCATGAGGATTGGAACTCCGAAGCCTAATGTGGGGGCCTTGATAGTTAGAATAGGGTCTTGGGGGTTCCTTATTATAATACCCCAAACCCTATTGTACTTATTAAGGCCCTCCCATTAAGCTCGAAGCCCAGAACCCGAGGCCCCAAAGCTGCAAGGCACTGGCCTACGGCCTGATGGATGGCCGGGTTGCCTGAGAAGGGGTTTAGGGTTTAGGGTTCAGGGTTGAAGGTTAGTTTAGGGTTTACGCTTTAGGGTTCTAAAGAAGATCGAATAAACTGGAAACTACAGGGTGAAGGATGCTTCCCGGACCCAAAAATATCCAGAAAGGCTTAGCCTCAAGTGGCAGAAAACGGTCCATGAGATTTGCATGGTCACTGCGCAAAGGTCGCGTCGTCTATGCACTTTGCGCACCGTCATGCATGAGGACTGAAACGGCACCGAAGCTGCCTTCCTTGTGGCGAAACTCTGTCGGGCACATGGCAGCGACGTAATCCTCCTAACCAGCGACAGGGCACGACATGGTCTGCTGTGGCGACCTGTGGCTACCCTGCCTGCCGGTACACTCTGGCCTGAACATAATGACACAGAGACCGCAAATGCTTGCCCTACGGGAACCAAAGGTTTGCAATGGTAGACAAGCAAGCTTCATGCGGGACATGGTGTCCTTGGTCACCCTGGAGCCTGCATCGTAGAATCTCTTGCGGAAGGCATCTCGCGTGACGCTTGCCTCACCAGTTGCTCCAAGACAGGATTGGGGCTGTACCCTGAACCCTAAACCCTAAACCAACACGCGCAGTGCCTGCTCTTCTCGACCCTTCAGCAAATCGCGTACCGGTCCCTGGCCTGCACTGCATTGAACGCAAGGCTCTCATACTCTTCCAGCAACTCTTGGCGAACACGCGCTGGAAGGACTGGCCGGGCGACATAACCTCAGGAAGACGAGGACAACGAGGACTGAAGATCTCACGAGAAACCCGGAACTTGCAACTTGGAAGCTGTCGAAGTACTCTTGCACGCGGCGAGAAATCGCTAAGAGCTCCTTGAGCTCCTGTATATGGTCCAACCTTGCAGCTCCCGGCAAGAACAGCTGGTCATGGCAAGACCACGGTGTCACAGCATGCCGGAATCTTGAGACAACTGCGGACGGTAGTCCGATGCTGCGTTCCCAGCCACTCCTTCATCCAAATCTGGAACAGCCGAAGGTGGCGAGGCTTTGCACTCGGGCATAGCTTTCTGAAGCAGAGCGATAAGTTGGGCTTCCTGAGAATTGCTATGAATGCATAGCCAGGATTACGAATAGGCGCTGGATACATAAATCCTCCCCGAGCTCCGAAAAACAGCACGAACTCCCTAGGAAAGCAGAAATCGACAGCACACACCCTTTTGCTTTTCTTTGTTTCCTCGTTGCTGTGTCTTGGAAGCAGATCTGAGAAGACGTTGAAACTCTGAAGCTGTGAGAAAAGACGCGACTGAGTAAGCCACGAACATGGAGCACCGCGATCTTTACAGAGGCCGTCCGGCAGCCACATCGAAACAACACCGTGACCTAAACCTGGTATTTTTGAGGTCCATATGTCGGTGCATGTTCGAGAGGCGTTTACATGTGGGTAGTTCTCTAAATTCGCGTCCTTTTTTAGGTCCCCCCTCAAAATGCGGCATCCTTATAAAGAGCCCTAAAAGGCACCCCCAATTTAGAGAACAGCCCACCTGTCCGCAAAGCCAGCGATCTTCAACAACATTTCAAAGTCGGTTTTTGAAGCAATGCTTGTCTATGCCGGTTGGCTGTGGCGTCATGCCGGCCTCCACTCTCAAGATCAGGACGTGGAGCTTGATTGGCTGAATAGGACAATGCTATGCAAACTGTTGTCAGGCACAATGTGGGTCTGATGGTCTAATTTAGGGGTCTTAGTACTCAGAATAGGGTCTTGGGGTATAATATAATTTTAGTAAGAAGCCCCCCAAAAATAGAGGTATTCAGGCCCCAGGTATTACGGAGAGAAATTTCGGCTTTCACGGTTATCGATCCCGGCAAGGGCTTTCGGTCGGGTGCCGGAGCCTTGAAAACCTGACGATAGCTTTTGATGTTGTAGGGTTTGGGGTTTAAGGTTTAGGGTTTGGGGCTTAGGGTTTCGGGTTTGGGGTTAAGGAGAGAAAAACAAAGGCTGAGAACTTAAAAGGCTGAGCGACGCACGTCCGTTCTTGCCCACCATCAGTGGGGTTTATGAAGGGTTTAGGGTTGAGGGCTTGTATTGAAAACCAGACTTCCTGCAAACGCCCTCAGCGAGATAGGACAGGAAGGAGCAGTGGTACGACAAGAGACAGGACAGGCTGGAGAAACAACAACGGAGCTGCTAGGCCTCCCAAAGGCCAACGAGCTCGGAGAATGCTCGAAGCGAGCACCGGTGATCCCTAACTTCGGGGTTTTCCTTTCTAGGGTTTAGGGTTACGCGACGTTCCAAGGGAAGGCCCCTTTTTCAGGAGCCCGGTTTCGCCAGAGAAGTGAAGCAGGAAAGCATTGCCGATGGCTCGGATTCTCTTGTCAGTCTTCTCTGGCTTCTGCAACAAGGCCCGGTACGTCCAGAGTCGGGTCGCCATGCAATGCAAAGACACGCATCCCCTTAACCATAATCTACCTGATGAATTTTCAGAGCTTTGTTGTTGAGTCGGACGTGAGGCACGTGCCTCTGTGAAAACGCGATTGCAGCGCAACAAGTTTCAAGTCCGCCAACCATGCCAGTTCTGCCCTAACAGCGGCAAGGCTTCAAGTCAGTGCAAGAGTCTGCCCGACACCCCGCAAGCGCTCCATCTCGTCCAGACCTCAGATGCAGGCTAAGGAAATAGCGATTGAAAAGATTCAGGCATCTGCATTAGGAGGCCTATGTGCATGCAGTGAGTGCCATGGGCGATCTGAAGATCGCACCTCGTACCAGCCGGTCGCACCATAGATCTGGCGGGATGAACTCCCCAAGCGCACCTCACACAGATTCGGTGAAACCGGCTGCGGATAGGCAAGTAGATGCGCGGCTTTTATGCCAAACTTTAGGCCACCGTTCGTGCAACCACGCGGCGACCGATGTCTTCATGAGACAGAGAGAAGTCACACTGCCTCTCGCACTCGCGGAAGACTTTCCGCCCAAGACCTGCAAACTTACGCTGTCATCCAGTTGGTCCACCAAGCTGTCCTTTCAACATGGCTAGTTCCGGCTCATACACATGCAAAGTTTCAGTTCAATGAAGTGAGACCACATTGTCGTACCCTGTCACCAAGCAGCAAGAAGTGTACGTGCCCTAACTCCGCGACGAAGCCAGTCGGCCTATCTCATCACGGCGGAGAAAGCCTGTGCAAGTCACGCACGAAGACCAGTGAACCCTAAACCCGGAATCCCAAACCCAATCAACCCAAAGAACTAAACGTGCATGGCGATCTTTGCCCAAAGAGTGTCTCACTTGCAATGTCCGTAAACCCGCAATAATCCTGCACCCCCCAACCCTGACCCTAACCCCTAAACCCCTAAACCTGACACCACACATCACCAAACAAACATCTCCTAAGGCCCTGAGTCAAGAAGCTCGAGTCCAGTGCGGCTGCTGTCTGCAACGGCAACTCCACTGGGGCCGTGTGGGACAGCTTGAAGCTTTTGTCCTGTCAGGACGGTCAGGGTTCAGGGTTCCTAAACCCTAAACCCTAATAGGGCTTAGGGTTTAGGGCTGGTTTAGGGCTTAGCGGGTCTAGGCGGTTTTCAAGGTTTAGCGGGGTTTCATGGGCTTTGTAGAACTGAGTGGTGGTGGCTGTAGGGTTTGATGTCGGGTTTCGGGTGCAGTCGGTTCAGTGGCGTGTTGGTGCGGCTCCAGGGTTTAAGGTTTAGTGGGCCTAGTCTCGGGTCCAGGGTTTGGGGGGGTTACCGGGCTTGCAGGATTTAGAAAGCTTGGTGGGGTTCCGTCGGGTTTTCGGTTTTGGATTCGGGTCAAAGGTTCAGGGTTCAGCGGGGTGTTTTCAATTTGGACTTTCTTGGGTTAAGGTGTTTAGTCTTTGCTGGGGTTGAGGCCGGCCCTAAAGCCTCATCCAAGGCAGTCCTCATCTTCGAAGAACTCGGGATCATCTTCAAGCTCACGAACGGAAAACCGCTCTAAGAGCATAGCAAAGGGAGCGGCGAGAGGGTCTCCCCCTTCACTCAGGAACCACCTTAGACGTCGGCGAAGCGCATCTGGAGTCTACATGCTTCGTCGAAGCTTCTCAGGCTGTCCCCTAGGAGCATCTTCACCGACATGTACCACAGGCTTACGCACGTACGCATTTTCCGCACACCGAAGCTTCGCCAGCCAGGCACTCTTCAATAAGCCAGATCGGTGCTGCATCTTTGGCTTTGATCTTCTTGGCCTTGCTCTTTTCAGGCTGCGAACAAGTCATCGAAGGTGCTTCCGGCATCTGGGACACTTTGCACATTGACACTCCAAGATCCACATCACGCATATTTCAACTCCAAGCTACCTCCCAGAAAGGCAAACTGCAGCAGGCGCTGTTCACCACCCGGTCGAAAAGGCATTTTCCCAGCTTTCGGCGCAGACTCGGCCTGAGCCCGAAGCCCCAGACCCCAAGCCCTGAAGCCCTGAGACGTTGCGGCAAGAATGGCAACAAACATGGAGTTGTGAGTCTGGGCTGCACCTGGCACATGCACCGAAGCATGCTAGGGGAACTTTCAACCTCAAAATGGCAACTTGGGTTGAGAGTTGAGGCAGTAGTAGGGCTTACCTTGAGTCTAGACACAGGATCAAGGGACATAGCAAGAAGGCTTAGGAGAGCGGTGAAGGTACTTCTACTTACTTATAACCCTCGTCATTAGGGCACGTATAGCCACGCTTGTGGAGCCCCACGATCCTTAAGGAAGGGTACACCTCAACCTGATCCCGAGCGCCCCTAAACCCTAAGCCCCTGTAGGACACCTGAGCGTGATTCGTAATGCAGGACTTAAAGGCTGAGTAAGTACCCTGGCCCAAAACAGCTTGATCTTCTTGTTATGGTAGGAAGTTCTCTCTCTCTCTCTCTATGTATACATGTGCCCAAAGACTTCAAGACCTCCTGTTACCTAGACCTAAACGCAAAGCCCTAAATCCAAAAAAGTAGCCTCCAGCCCTAAAAACCCAAACCCTGCCAGTCTTCCTCCAAGACTCTTCGGCGCAAGGCTTACGGTGTCGACCAGTGCGAAGGCGCAGGCGATGCCATGCAAGAAGGACGAGATCCTATGGTCTTTTTTCGGGCTTAGGGTTTAGGGGTTTAAGGTGTAAAATAGGGGCCTTAATATTTAGAATAGGGTTTTGGATCCCATAAAGCTATACTTATAACAAGGAATCCCCAAAATAGTATAGGTAATTGTAAAGGCTCCTACATTATGTTCTTTTTTGACGGCTATGTTCCTCCCTATCACAGTCGGTATACCACTGTGGCGGAACCCTTGGGGCTGGTTTGAGGACTATACTTTCGGGATTAAGGTTTAGGGTTTAGGTATGAACTCCTTGACCCTATAGCCCCTAAACCCTAAACCTTAGCCTCAAACCCTAGTTCAGGCCGTGAGGAGATGTTGGTGTGATCATGAGAGTTGAGGGTTTAGAGTTTACGGGTCTGAAAGTGTGCACCTCTTCACCCGCTATAGACATTTTAACTTCCCCTATGGCCTAAACCCTAAAGCCTACGTAGCTCTCAAGCCAAAACCACAAACCCCAATTGGCTCTCAGACCAAGAATCATCTCCACAAACTCGGCAGAATTTAGGATCCGGCCGTCGTTCTCGTCAAACATACCCAGCCTTGTTTCTGCAACAGTTCACATCTCGTGGCTTCCTGAAATGTTACGTCTCAACGATTCCGAAATCATGCAGAAGCCTTCGTTCCGACATTAACTAAGGAAATCCTCAATACCAGGACGCCCCCCCTCGAACAAAAGGAGGAGCCCAAACTCCAAACCCCTGTAAACCGAAGAACCCTAAGCATAAACCAAAGTCCAGTCCAGGCAACAAGAACCGGACCTTCTGTCTCTTGGAGATCGTAGTTGACAGGAAGATGCCGGATGCCAGGAAAGCATGAACTGGGACCTTCACCCTTTTGAGGTCCATGGCCGACCTACAGTAGGGTTTAGGGCTCAGGAAGAGGGCCTTTGTCCCTAGGTGTCAGGATGTACAGGGGCTAGGGCTTAGGCCTATGCGTCGGTAAAGGGGTTCAACCTCGACTGGTCTTCGCCTTGTGTGATCGAAAAGTCTCACAAGTCTCCGGGTTTAGGGTTTCGGGCTTTAAGGTTCCCATATACGGCTTACAGGGTTTTCTATTCTCATACAAACATATATATATATATATATGTATATGAACGGTTGCTACCTAGCAGTGCTCTGTAAGGATTTGGGTCGCCCGGCCTGGTGCTCGCATGCTGAGCGTAAGCTGCAGGATCGAAGAGCTTGACCCATGCGAGGGTCTTCCTTCAAGGGCGAGTGATTCTAGTGACGGTCGCGGGCACGTCCGAACTTCCAGCTGCGTCACGCAGTGCAATCAGTGCCGAGCGGGTTTCTCTGCTGACAAAAAACATGTTCGCAAAAGCAAAGCTCAACCAGCTAAGCTAAGCATCGGCATGGGCACGGAGAGAAGCTCTTGCAGCTCGTACGCATCCATGAACCTTGGTTGACCCCTCGTGCACAACTGGAGGCTGCTAAGGCTGCTAAGATTATCCCGCAACATCAGCTGTCTGACATGTATAGCCCTCTCTCACCGCAGGCGCCCGGAGACCCGACATCAAGCGGATGCTAAAACCCCACGGGCATGGCAACTCTGCCGCGAGGCTTCGGCGCACTGCCCCTCTTCCTCGGATGAGTCGTGGCATCGCAAGTTGTCTTCTTGTCGAACTTCACAGTTTTTCGGGCATGTGACATTCTGCCATGTGAGCTCAGAAAAAAGATACCCGTAGTTGCGAGATTGCAAAAGGATGCCGAGACTAGTAATACTGCAACGGCATCTCCCCGCCACCGGCATGTACTGGCTAAGGCAACTGCTCCGGCCACTCAGCATCTCCGTTCCGACAAACTGCCTTTACTCAAAAAGGACTGATGAGCCAAGCGACCATGATCCCATGGCTTGCCATCGATTGAAGATTTCGACCTGAACCCGAAACCCTAAACCCAAATGTCAATTGCGCCCCACATGGAGCACCACAGAAACAGAGATGGCGTGTCAATTGCGCCCCACATGGAGCACCACAGAAACAGAGATGGCGTCTGCAGACTGAGGACCCCATGTGCCTGAATTCCAAAATGCTGCTGTTGCCAACTCGATATCACCCCTATCTAGCCTGACATCGCAAGCTGGGCCTAAACCGTAACCCTAAACCCAAACCCCTCAACCTGTCGCAGGCGCACCCAGTAGTCGATGGAGCGCGTGGAGAGGCCCCTGCACTCAGCAGGGGGTATCCCCACGAGCACGCGGTTCCAAAAGTCTTCCTTGGCGCACGGAGCAAAAAAAGGTAGCTTCTGAAGATATGTGAGGGGCCCAACTTTAGATCCTAACTAGAAGGAAACTTATCATAGTGATCCCGAAACAATGCATCCCGACTTTTGAGACACGGCCCTTCTTTCGACAAGCATCGAGCCAGTCCACTTGAGGTTCCTCTGCGAAGATGTTTGCAGACAACTCGTCAAGCGATTCGTCGGCAAATGAAAGCTGGCGCTGCAGCTGTCCTACCGTAAAGTTGATACATTGGCTGCCATCACTTATGCAGGTTCATTCGCAAGGAAACGACTGGACCAATTGCTGAGCCGTCATTAGCATATCTGCGTAGCTGGACAAGACGGACGTAGACAGGGACTTGAATTTAGAGAACCACCATTTGTGCCCTGCTCGTGGATTCGGTTGAGATGATCCGCTGCGAATACAGGCGATGGTAGGGACCAGGAGCTACCAGATGCAGGCAGAGACATAGAGAGCTTTACGGACAGCGAGACGGAATGAGAAAGAGCCAGAAGGACCGACACTAAGACGAAGACACGCATACAAAGATAAAAACAAACAGATACTCTAAGAACAAGCGCGACATGAGCCTCTGAGCAGGAGTTCTGGCAACAACGGGACCACCTGCAGCTTTCGACATGATTGTCCTGCTGGGATGAGGGAGAGGCGTCGAGCGCGACCACCGCCCTCTCCCTTGGGGCTGGACCTGATGCAAGCTTCGAGCATGGCCGCTCCCAGTGGCACACCGCTGCGAAGAAGGTTGACCGTTATTCAATCGACTACTTTGGACTCGGACTGCTGCATGTTGCACACGCTTCGGCCGCGGGCCGATCTGGCAGAACCGATTCTACACGGTATCACGCACAGCCACCCGGAAGCTGGGCTGTATGACGAACGTAAACTCAGAGAGCCCAACATCGCAGTAAGGAGTCGGAGTATACCTTTGAAGCTATTTACGACGTTTATCAGTTTAGTTCTACAGAGAGAGAGAGAGAGATAGATATATATATATATATATACAGTAGATATTGTACACTAAACATGATGCCCGACATTAGGACCGACGATATATCATTATAAATGGACGACTCTACGTATATACCGAATGTATGTACGTTTCCAAAGTGAATGATCCTGATCAAGAGATGCCGGGCCCTAAACCCTAGGCCCTAAACCCTCTCTCTCTGTGGAAGCGTGGGAGATCATGGGCTGCTGCCAGGCCACGGATCCGCTACAACCTTAGCAAGTCTGGGTCTCTTCTCAAGCGTGAGCCTTTGAGCGGAAAGCCAGAGAAGCCTAAACCCTGAAACCCTAAACCTGCCCACACCCAAACTGATGAGGGAAGCCTTGCTTTAGCGCTCCCGCCACCAGGATTCCTTGTAAGTCCCCCAGATAGTACGGCACCCCTGTAATATGGACGATACAACGGATCTTCATTCAGAGAACTAACCACATGTGGAGAAGCATGCTGGCCGCGCCTGTGAGCTACGCCAGTACATGGGTAGTCAACTTAGGATCCCGTTTAGGGTCCTTTTTGAAAGAGTGCCGTACTATTTTGGGGAACTAAAAGGGGACCCTAATTTAGAGAACTGCCCACATGGCAGGAAACATTTTTTGGCAGTGGTGTCTCGGCGATCCCTCGGTCATTTCCTAATCTTCCCGCAGTCCCTGGGTCTCCTGGTGGTTTCATGGGGGTTTAGAGGGTTAAGGGTTTAACGGTTTATGGGTTTAGGGGTTCAGGGGTTGAGGATGGTGGTCGTGGTTGACTCGCTGGCTGTGGTCGTGGTCGTCTTGGTCGTTGTAGTCGTCGATGCTGGCAGAATTTAGGGTCTCCGGTTGAGGGTTCAACTTCACGAACGGTTTCCCAAAACATGGGTGTACCCAGGACGTATCTGACAGACAAGCTTGAGACAGGTCCTCGAAACATGCCTGGGCACATACACGACAATGATGTGTAAGGTCGAGCCTAGTCGAGCCTCGTGACGCCTCATCGCCACAGTATCGATCTTTTCGAACTGACTGGATGACTGGATGACGTTGATGCCGATCACTATTCTTTGTATTTTAGCATTTTTGTTAATGTTCAGTATTCCTAAAAAACCACACTTTTCATCATGCAACTATGACTGATTACTTACTACTACTTTACGACTGTGATTATCAATAACTGTTTTGTTTATAATATCAATGTTACTTGTTACTACTATAATAGCAGTAACAACTAATAATAGCAACAATACTGGAAGTTAGTCTTGATATTATGACTCTAAGTCTCCGGCTGATGTGATCTCCGAGAAGGTCGATGCCTTCTTGAACCCGGGTCTCGAAGGTGCGCTCTGTGACGGCGGCCTGCCGCCCTTCGCGCAAAAAAGGGTTCGGGGTTTAGGGAATGTGCAAATTATCGTGTATGGATACTAGGTTACTTTTCTGCTTGCAACTTCGTACACCCTGCTCATCAGTGGGACGTCCGTGCTTCGCGGACATTGCTCTCGATTCAAGCTAGGCATTGATCCTGATGCTCCTGGAAGTTACCGAAGAGATTCCACTCTGCGATTTCACAACTGCTTAGGCTACGCTGTGCAAAGTCGAGGGTTGCACCGACATCTTCCTGCGTGCCAAGAAGCGCCACTTAGAGTGGGGGTCCTGCAGCTATTTCTCCAGGCAGAACATGGTGCAAAGGAAGCGGGGCCAGCTCGCATCTTGAGTTCACCACTAGTAGCTTCAAGGTGTCTCTTCGAATCTGGACAAGAAACCGCACCCAAAACTACGTTGACATCAGACCCAAGAACCGAGGTCAAAGCACGTCGGCCTTTGAACAGGGATGTCGTCAGCCGGAGTCGGGTCAGTCGAGAAATGCCTTGCCTTGCACAGCGGGATCAGTCCGAACTTACACATCATCTTCAACTGTCTTGAAGGCTGGCAGCTTTGATCCGATAAACAACAAGGCTGCTACCAATCAGTCTGCTCCACCAACCTCCGCTCCAACCTGTCCTGCCATTGCCACGGAAAGAAGAAAGCCCGCTGCTTGCTAGGAAGCGACACTGAGAGGTGGATTCCTGCAGCTATTTCGTCGGGCAGAAAATGTTGCAAAGGTGTTGGTTTTGCGAATTGAGGCCAGTTCACATCATGAGGACACTTCACTACAAGGAGCTTCAAGGTGTCTCTTCTATTTTGCACAAGAAACGACATCCAAACTACGTTGACATCACACCTGCGCCAGATCAGAATCAAGACCCAAGAACCGAGGTCAAAGCACGTCGGCCTTTGAACAGGGACGTCGTCAGTCGAGGGTCGTGGCGCCTCTGCCTGCAAAACAATGGACGATGCCTTGGGCAAACTCGCTTCATCCATAAACCAGCCCACCATGGCTTGCATGCTTGATGGCGAAGTCCGCAAGCTACTGAGCTGCTAGCAGCAAGCAGCGTGGACGATGCCGCGGCCCTTGCACGCCCTCTCCCGCGCCAACCTACGACGACGACGACCACAACCACTACTCCTACAACGACGACGACGACTACTACTACTGATACTACTACTACTACTACTACTACTACTACTACTACTATTACTATTACTACTACTACTACTACTACTACTACCACCACTACTACTACTGGCTGCTACTGAGACCACTACTACCTGCACGACCTACACTACCACTAGCCCGACGACGAGGACGACGACGACTACTACTACTACTACTACTACCACCACTACTACGACGTTCTACGATTCCCACTAGTAGCATGTCTTGTGCCAGTACCAGAGCTAGTAGCAGTAGCGATCGCAGTAGCAGGATCAGCTTGGGTGGCAGTAGTATCGGGAGAAGCAGTAGGGACGGCACCAGCATCAGCAGCCGCAACGGCAGGATAACAAGAGCCTGAGCTCAGGAAACCTGTAGCTTCCGAGCCTTGCCTTTGCGATATGGTGTCCTTGAGCCTGAGCTGATGCCCCAAAGTATAGTCTCAAAGCCCCACAAAAAAATCGTTCGAGTGAGGTAAGCAAGCCTGCACTGCTCTACACCGCACTTCCTGTAACCCAAAGGCCTCAAGCACCAAAGCTAGCTCTAGCTGTGTAGCTGGACCAGCCCTAAGCCGACCCGATCTCATCCTCTAAGGAGATTACCTGAACACCCGAAGAGCCCTAAACTCTATACCCCTAAGCCCTAAAGAACTAAAGCCTAAACCCTAAACCCTATGCCCCTAAGCCCTAAAGCACTAAAGCCTCAACCCTAAACCCTATACCCCTAAGCCCTAAAGCACTAAAGCCACAACCCTAAACCCGATACCCCAAAGCCCTAAAGCACTACAGCCTCAACCCTAAATCCTATACCCCTGAGCCCTCAAGCCTTAAACCCTAAACCCTAAACCCTATACCCCTAAGCCCTCAAGCCCTAAACCCTAAACGCTTAGCCAGGTGGTCGACCCGGAGGAGTTTGATCCAGCCAGGACCTCAACTGGGAGTTTCCAAAAATTAGGGTACCTTATAGTGGGGTCATTATAATAAGGATCCTTTTATTTAGGGTAGAATATATTAGGGTCCCCTATTTTCGGAAACCCCCTACTGAGGTTTAGGGCTTAGGGGTTTAGGGTTTAGGGGTTTAGGGGTTTGGGGTTTCAACTGACGTTTAGGGCTTAGGGGTTTAGGGTTTACGGGTTTAGGGGTTTGGGGTTTCAACTGACGTTTAGGGCTTAGGGTTTAGGGTTTACGGGTTTAGGAGTTTGGGTTTTATAGGGGTTTAGGTTCCATGATCACTTTTGCAGCAACCCTAAACCCAGCAGGGCCCATGAAAGTAATGACCCGAAACTCCTAAATTGCCCTGCCGAAGCCAGAAGCCCTATAAAGCCGAAACCCTAAACCCTAAATTGCCCTACATAGGTGTTCCGCTTTGGGGCTAGTGACTGTAGGAGCTTGTGTGTTCTCGGCTTCCCTATAAAGACTGGACACCTTCGGTTGCTATGCGTAAGTGCGCCTTCATGGGTTTAAAGAGGGTTTCAGGGTTTCAGGGTTTAGGGTTTAGGGTTTAGGGTTTAGGGGGCTTAGGGTTAAGGGTTTTATCAAACCCTAAACCCTATAAACCCTAAACCCTATGAAGCCTGAACCCTGTAGACTCTAAACCTAAACCCTAACCCCCAAGCAAACCCTGAAGCCTGGACAACGCTCAGATGCAACATTCAATCCATGTGCAAGCCGCGTCTAACCCTTGTAAAGTCATAAGCGCTGAACTCTACCCCTTGGTCGACGAAGCGCAATAACCCCAAACTCGAAGCCCTAAACCCTCAACCCTAAACCCCACACTCGAAGTCCTAAGCTGCAAGTCTCGTGAAAGACCCTACGTACTTGAGCCATGAGCCGAAACGCTCTATCCTCAAACTCACACCAATATATCAACTGTATTTGCATAATATATATATATATATATAGTCATACACACATATATAGATAGATAGTATGCTTAAATGTATGTTCCTTAGTATCTTCAGAAATTTTCAGCCAGTGGTGTTGTTAATCCCTGCTTTGAGTCGGAAGACGTGCTTTCAGGTTACGCGGATGCCTCATGGAACATCTCTTCTGTGTCGGGTCCCATTGTGATATGGCACCCTAAACCCTAAACCCTAAACCCTAAAACCCTAAACCCTAAACCCCAAACCCTAAGCCCTAAACCCTAAACCCTTACCTCTCGTTGCTGATGGAGACTTTGCTGTATGAGCTTCCGAAAGGGGAGACAGGGAGTTTGAGTTTCCCGATCTACTTGGCCTCAGATTCAGAGGCAGCCCTGTCAATCAGCAACATGACGGGTTTGTTGACGGTTTAGGGTTTAGGGTTTAGGGTTGAGGGTTGAGGCGTGTGAGACACCCGGAGGTACGCCACCGTTATCTTCAAGGGTGGAGAGTTTAATCCATCCCTCCATATTGAGAGCCCTTGAAATAGTCGGATCTCATCAGATCTCGTGGACCTATCAGAAACCAATAAAATACGGAAATCTTCCAACCGCGATCAAAATCCAGACCCGTTTATGACTCGTTAGCCCTCTAGCATTAGACACCCTAAGCCGTAAGCTCTGTGTTGCATTCTATCTTCAAAACCTTTAGCGTGAACCCTACAACACGCCTAAGCGCCCTGAAGCGAATTTTGGTTTCGATTCCTTTATAAGGCTTTCAAAACCTTTGGAAAAGCTGTATAAACCTGGCCCGCCCCTATGCAACTCTGAACCGCCTGAACCCTGGAATTCGTGGGAAGGCCACCGTTTAAAGGCCTAGAGCCCGATCACATGCCCTGCATTAGGGTTTAGGGTTTAGGGTTTAGGTGCAGAAGCCCTATCTCAGCCCTACGACCCTCCACATGCTCGCGTGCACACACACGCGCACGCGCACGCGGAGCCCTGAAGCCCTGAATCGAAGCCAAATCAAAAGTCTAAACCCTAAACCCAATATGTAAACCTAAGCCCCTGAAGCCTAAACGCAACATAAACCCTGCTAAATCCTAAAACTTACATAAACCTAAACCCCTTAGGCCCAAATCCCGAACACGACGAGAATCTCCCCTAAACCCTAAACCCTAAACCCTAAACCCTGAACCCTAAACCCTAAACCCTAAACCCTAAACCCTGAACCCTAAACCCTAAACCCTAAAGCTAAGTGAGGCCCTCGGCTTCTGGCGAAGCGCTCGCCTTTTGGAGCAACCGGGCCGAAAGTGGGGCAGAGAAGGTTCTGAGTACAGTTTTAGGGTTGAGATGCAGAGTTTAGGGTAAAGGATTCTAGAAGTTCTCGCGGGCAGTTTAGGGTTAGGGCAATTTCCGGTATAATTTGTTCATCTTGTTTTCTAGGTTTGGGTTTTGAGGTTTGTAGAGACCTTCCCAAGCTGTAACGTCTAGGCTTCTTCGGGTTTCAAGTCTGAGGGCTTTTGGAGTTTAGGGGCTTTGTGGTCTGGGGTTTGCATTGCGACTTCAACACGATACCCTTTAACCCAACCCCTAACCCTTCACCCTTGAACCTTTTTTTCAAGTATAGGGTTTCAGAGAATATTGGACTTTGTGTTTTGTTTGTGGGTACTTGGTTTTAGGGACGTAGGGGTGTCTGTATTCATACTTTTTTCGAATTTGTTCATGGTGCCGGAACTGCTAGTCTAGGAACGCCCAAACCCTAGTCTTTTTATTGTGGCTTCCACATCGACGACTACCACGACGACGAGGACGAGGACGACGACGACTAGTACTGCCATCACTACCATGGCGACATCAACTGCTGCTAACTACAACGCAGCTACTGAGAACTTCAACCACACCGTCGCAGCTCTCCCGTTCGAGTGCATGCTTGACAGCAGCTGCAGTTCTGCTGTGGTCACGCAGCAAGTGTGCTGCACTAGCTGGTGGTCGAATGCTGCGTACTACCCAGGGGCTCCAAGGTAGTTCCTTTTTAGGTCTGTTATGGTTTTTGGGTAGGGAATTATACTATACTATCCAAAAAGGAACTACATAGGAGCCCTTGGGTAGTTGCTTGTACCAAAGCCCGCAGCAGTTGCAGCGCAAACAGGTGCAACACGAAGAACAGTGGTACTTGATCCCGGTCTTTTTTCGATCTCCTGCATGACTCTACACATCTCTGTGCAATACCACTAATTCCTCACCCCTGACAGTGAACTGGGGGCGCTGCCCTCCTCGCAATAAAGTTCAAAGCTCGAAGCGTGTTTGTAACATGAGGAGAGCGCGGCTTTTACCTTTTAGGAATCTTGCTCCTGCTCCTGTCGCGGCTCTTGCTCTTGCCCTAAAATAAACCCTAAACCTTAAACCCTAAACCCTAAACCCTGAACCTAAACCCTAAACCCTAAACCCTAAACCCTTTTTCTCTTGCCTCCTGCTCTTCCTCAACCTCCTGCTATTCCTCTTCCTCCTGGTCTTGCTTTTGCTCCTGCTCATCCACTTGATGAACCCCATTTGTCAAAATCGGTCTTAAAATTCAGGGATGTTCCTTTATGAGGACTTCCCGGAAAGTGGTTGTTGTTGATGATCGGTGTGCTTAGAAAAAGGGGGAAAGGATTTCTCGCACAGCATGTGCCCCTCAAGATTCTGCATTCTACACACCCGCAACTCTTAGCAAGAATGATCCTGCTTCCCCGGAGCATCCGTTTTTCCTTTGTAGCTTCGGGCTTCCTTCGAAAAGTTGAACAATATGAAAATATCCGTTCGCCCATTCCATTAAAGGCGCTATGGTTTGCTCTAAAGCCTGACACCCCAAGTGCAACAGCTCCATGGCCGAAATAGCCCTAATAAACAACAGCACACACGCTCTACAGCCCGCGCCCCGCAC